TCCTGTGAGTGTCAAATTTTCCAAGCTCTCTTTCCTCATTGCGTGCCTTAAAAATGGCAACAATCTTTTCTGATGTTAAATACAAGTGTTCTTTTTTCCATTTCCTTTACAAGTTCATCGTTGCTCGCAGGTTCGGTCCATGCTATTACCAGCATCCTTCTGTAGCACTAGATTTATGTTCCTTGAAGATATTTCTTCATCTTTGAGGAGATTGCCCAGCATCTATTTCCATATAAAGGAACTCATATTATGTAAAAATTCACTACTCCTTTTTTATTTTTGCGTCTAACGAAAATTTTTCTGGTTTCTTGCTACATTACTTAGCTTTTGAAGGCATCTTTCACTCTTCCAAAGCCAATTCCGTTTTCAATGCCGCACTTTCTTTACCCTGTTATAACACGTCCCACTCATTTAAATTGTTTTATTTGTTTCATTTTGTTATCTCCAATTTGTAATTTGTATGTTAATATGTCCCTTTTGCTAACAATCATATATTTTATCCTCTTGCAATTTAAGTTTAATCCTTTCTTTATGATTTCCTGTCCTACTTCCTGTAGGATTTGTTATCGTTTCCGTTTTGTGACTGCTATCAAAACTTTCATTTGCATATCTTATGCTGTTAAGATTGTTGCTGCCAATAATGAATCATGTTGGAACTCTCTCAGAATCAACTCAAAATATATAATACTCGAGAATTCCCACATGTTTATTAAACCCTAAATTCTGTGTATTAACTTTGATAATGAGATAGCTTTCAGTTTTTCTACAGGTGTTCTGCGAATTAAACAAAGAGACTTGAAGGACGTATCTAACATTATCTATATAATGATTTTGTAAGGTGAAATATTGTAGATTAATTAATGTCTCTTATTATCATTTTATGATCGGCGATCCAGTCTCCCAAACATAATTTCCTCGATCACAGGTATTGCAGGCAATCAGGTAGGCTATAATGAAGGTGTCGGATAAAAAAGTCAAGGGCGTACTTTAACTTCCGTACCTGGAGGAATGTCACTTGAATCGGTGACCATGTGATTAGAGATTTTGCGCCGTGGTTTATTATAAAGATAATTATCAGAAGAGCATTTGGCCGTTTGAGTTTGGAAGATGTCAGTTGTGATCAGAAATTAGTTGGTTTTCGTTCTGACCTAAGTAGAGGTTCCATGAATGTGTTATTAATTTAGGGATGTAGTTTAAGATTTAGGAACTCTCTTTGGGAGATAATTTAGTGGTATTATAATTGAAATCAAATATAATGGCTTTTCGTAGTCCGATGTTGTTTTTTCTTTTCTCAGTTTGTGTATATTTTGTAATCTTTATAATTGATTATATTTAGGGGTCGGTTTCTGTTGCAAAAGTGGTTAATGAGGGAATCTCTGTTGAATATTGACCTTCGTAGCGTCCGAACTAAATATAAATTTGCGCAAGCATTGGCTACTGATTATGAATTTTTTTAGCTTGGTGGTTTTCTGTTATAAACATTGAAAAAACGTGACGTCTGTGGATTTCATGAATCGCTATTCTCTTTCAATGCTGCCAACAGCTTCTCCGGGTGCTTATTTTTTTCTCAATATCATCTCTTTTCCTTTGCTATTCATTTTCGTATATTTTGATAATTGATAACATCGAAATCGTATAATAAATAGTGAGTATATGGAATTTAAGATGATTATATTGCGTCACTGTTTTAACTTAACATATCTATCCATTTATAAATAGATATATATATATATATATATATATATATATATAGATAGATAGATAGATAGATAGATAGATAGATAGACTGCATGGCTAGATAGACAGACAGACATATAGCTTACATAAACAGATTGATATGTTAGAGAGACAGATATATTACACAGATTAGATAGATTGCATAGACAAATAAATTACAAAAATATTTAAATGGATATATAGCTTACATAAATAGATTGATAGATTACATAGATCGAAAGATTACATAGTCTATATATATATATATATATATATATATATATATATATATATATATGAAGAAAAATATCTGGAAAAACAAATAAAATCCTCAAAAATGCGATTATGTTGTTTTAATATAAATGAAATGTCGACGTCTGACGTTTCGGTTTAAAAACCTTCTTCAGGACAAAATTCATTAAAAATACAATTAACATAATCATTATAACACGACGAAAATGATGGACATAAAAACAAGTCTTATCCAAAACAGATAAATGAAAATTTTTAAATGATCAGCTTTCCGTTTGAGCGTGGTCACGTTGTCGTCAAATAGGCGACGCTTTCACAACGTAATCTTAAAAATTTTATAAATTTGATTCCGATGGAAAGATTTTTCATATATACAGTTCGTTAGAAAATCCTTTCTGTTCTTGTAGGAATCCTGTATCTTCGGATAAGCATGCAGTCCTCCATGTAATAAAATTAATTCAGGTTTGTATTTCCAGTGGACAGTATGATAAGCAAATATAAATGGATATAAATCCGACAGAATGAAGAAAAA